TTTTTTTTTATTAAATGACAACTGTGTACATTAATGCAATCATGGGGTGCAGTGTGGTGTTTTCATGTATAATTTGAAATATTTTCATCAAACTGGTTAACATATAATCGCTTATTCTTCACAGAGATATATGTTTGAAGCTTTAATGATGTTAAGCAGGGACTAATCTGCAGGTGGCAGGTATAGGCCAGGAGGGCGGTTCCTAGGGGTGAAGAAGCTGGGGGCCAAACAGGGGAAGGGACTGTAGGAAAACATAGTTAATGAAAAATCAGGAATCTGAGGTTTTGAGGTTTACACACCTTGTTCTGTAAGAACCCCTGACAATCATTTGGAAATATCCCGTATACCACATAAGTCTACCTCAGGACCAAGACAATAAACAGAAACCACCTCAGAGTCCTCAATGTCTTTCTCCATTCTCGGAGACTGACCTGTTTCTTTTTCTGGAATGTATTTTCAACTTTGTATAGCTCCTTTTTTGTAATAAAAATTGTTTGTGTGTGGCTCAGCATCTGTAGCTCAGCCCCTAAGGTGCCAGCCACATACACCAGAGCTGGTAGGTTTCAACCCAGCCTGGGACTACCAAACAATGACAACTACAACCAAAAAATAGCCGAGTGTTGTGGCAGGCGCCTGTAGTTTCCAGCTACTTGGGAGGCTGAGGCAAGAGAATCACTTAAGCCCAGGAGTTTGAGGTTGCTGTGAGCTGTGATGACACAGTGCTCTACTGAGGGCTCACATAGCGAGATTCTGTCTCAAAAAAAAAAATTGTTTGTGTGGAATTGCTTCCTGTTTGTGGTCTCTCTGACCTATTGGTCCTGCTTATGATACTTCCAAGTGAGGAGCCAAAGAACCAGAACAACAATCTGCCAACAGGGTAGACCTGACAGAGAAAATAAAAAAGAGAAAATAAACCCAAATGTCACAAAAGAGAATTGGTTAGTAGTATTGAATGTCCCAACAATGACATAATATACTTCTGACACAGGAAAATGACTCCCAATGCTGGAAGCCATTTAAGTCCAAGTGGGTCCTTAGCTTTGCACAAGGAAGCATTCAGGTGCAAGCCAACAGTATAAAGTGAAAGTGAGATTTATTCAAAGACTATAAAAGTCTATTCCACAGACAAAGCAGAGTCTAGCTCTCCCTGCAGAAGAGAATGGGAACCCATGCTTCCTGTTCCCCCTCTATTTAAGCAAGGGCTTAATTATATTCTAAACAAGGGGAGGAATATTCATGAGCAGGATCAATGTTTTCCTTGAATTAAGGCCAGGACACCACCTCCCTTTGACCAAATATAGTCAAATAGGAAGTGTTGAGATGTCAAGTGAGATCGGAATAGATGTTCTTAGAAACTTTTATGTTAATGAAATGTATAATGAATCTGTACAGTCAAAAAGTGGTCAATTTCTCCATCATCTTGGTTCTAACTTGTTGAACTTGCCCTGCCTCCATTCTGTTTTGATTAGGGTAGCTTCAAACTTTGTTTTGAGACTTCCTGACAGGGTAATGCTGTAGTGATTAATGCCCAAAGCAATGCCTGCTGCAGTGTCCAAAGAAGTGCTCAAATCAGTACCTGCCAGTTTCCTGTCTCAGTTCCATTGAAAATATTGCTGAAGTGGGGCACAGAGGTTCATGCCTGTAATCCTAGCACTCTGGGAAGCTGAGGCAGGAAGATGCCTTGAGCCTACGAGTTGGAGGTTGCAGTTAGCTATTATGAGATATGATGGCAGCCATTGCACTCTTCTATGGTTGACAGAGAGAGACTCTCAAAAGAAAAAAATTGCTGAAATGCACCTATGCATATGCAAAGATGGTTACATTTTAAATAGAAATACCAGTTACTAAAATAAATTGGTATGATTGTCTTTAAAAATTATATATAGCATGGGCAGCGCCTGTGGCTCAAGGAGTAGGGCGCCTGCCCCACATGCCAAGGGTGGAGGTTTCAAACCCAGCCCAGCCAAAAACTGCAAAAAAAAAAAAATTATATATATCCCACACATATATACATAAATATATATTTAAAAGGATATTATGAGGGTTAAATGTTTGTTAGGGACAGAGTTGCGTCTCCCCAAAATTCATGCTGAAAGCCTAATGCCCATTGTGGCAGTATTTGGAGATAGGGCCTTTAAGAAGGTAAGTAAGGTTAAATGAAGCCTATTGATGGGGCAGTGATCCAGCTGGACTGGACTGGTGTTTTTATAAGAAGAGTAGGAGACGCCAGGAACACCAGCACAGAAAAAAAGCCATGTGAGGACCTCACTGGAAATTAACCCTGCCAGCACCTTGATTTTAAGACATCCAGCTTCTAGAACTGTGAGGAAATACATTTGTATTGTTTAAGCCACTCATTCTATGTGATTTCATTATGGAAGCCTGGGAAACTAATACAATGTTCATTTTCTTATTTTATGGTCTGTTTTTGCAATGTTTCATTTTTGTCTACTTTCTTACTTGCTTGTCTATATCCTAAAATGTGGATGTTTTAAATTTTGAAATAAAATAAATTTTATTTTGAAAAAGGTAATTTAATAATATTTTTTAAAATAGGAAATAGTAAAATGTTTATTAAAGAAATAAAAATGCAGTGGCTCACATCTGTAATCCTAATACTATGGGAAGCCAAGGCAGGTGGATCCTGTGAGGACAGGAATTCAAGACCAGCCTAAGCAAGAGTGAGACCCTGCCTCTACTAAAAATAGAAAAAACTAGCCAGGCATTGTGGTGGGTGCCTGTAGTCCCAGCTACTCAGGAGGCTGAGACAAGATTGGTTGAGCTCAGGAGGTTTTTTTTTTTTTTTTGAGACAGAGCCTCAAGCTCTGGGTAGAGTGCTGTAGCATCACAGCTCACAGCAACTTCCAACCCCTGGGCTCAAGCGAGTCTCCTGCCTCAACCTCCCAAGTAGCTGGGACCACAGGTGCTCACCACAGTGCCTGGCTATTTTTTGGTTGCAGCCATCAGTCGTTGTTTGGTGGGCCTGGGCTGGATTCGAACCCTCCACCTTAGGTGTATGTGGTTGGCGCCTTAGCCACTTGAGCCACAGGCACCGTGCCTGAGCTCAGGAGTTTGAGGTTGCTGTGAAGCCATGGCACTCAACTCAATGGTGACTGAGTGAGACTTTGTCTCAAAAAAAAAAAAAAAAAAAAAGAGAAAGAAAGAAAAGAAAAAGAAAGAAGAAAAGAAAAGAAAAATGTGCATTATAACATATCCAACTTTTGTTCCTACAGTGTTTTTCAGAAGACCCACACCTCCCTGCCTCTCCTAACTAGAATCCTTCTTTGCCTGCCAATATCTACCAATTTTATGTGTCCGTAATTAGAATCCAATCCCCAAACATATCTAATAACCCAACAGATATTCATTTTACTAAAAGCTGTGGATTACACCATATGGAACTGGCATTAATGGTTAAATATCATTAATAAATCAATCTTTAGCTCAGCGCCTGTAGCACAGTGGTTACAGCTCCAGCCATATACACGGAGGCTGGTGGTTCGAACCCAGCCTAAGCCAGCTAAGCAATAATGACAACTGCAACAGAAAAATAGCCAGGCACTGTGGTAGGCACCCGTAGTCCCAGCTATTTGGGGGCTGAAGAAAGATAATCGCTTAAGCCCAAGAGTTTGAGGTTGCTGTGAGCTGTGATACCACAGCACTCTACTGAGAGTGACATAATGAAACTGTCTCAAAAATAAATAAATAAAAATCAATCTTAATGCTTGCTCAGAATGTTAATTCTACTTCCTCGTCACTGCAGTAGAAAACTTTGACCATGAATATTTACCAGTGTTTATTTACCACTACATAAACTGTGTATCATCAGAAATTTACTGTCTTTGCAAATTAATTCACAGTATCTTGGTACATTTCACTTAGGAACATTTTGGCTCGGCGCCTATAGCTCAACTGGCTAAGGCGCCAGCCACGTACACCTAAGGTAGCAGGTTCGAATCCCCAGCCCGGACCCGCCAAACAACAACGACGGCTGCAACCAAAAAATAGCC